GGCCAGCACTTAAACCCCGTTCCTTTGTTCTCGGGTAGGCAGGCATGTCCCAGGAATATCACACAGATCCCGCCTGGAGGGAGGGTGTGCTGTTAGCCTGTCCTCTGCCCTCAGCTTGCCCCACGCTCCCTCATCAGAAACCCAGTCCCTTATGGAGACCAGGTGGGTTTTGCAAAAGCAAATCAATCCTTGCCACGGTGAGGTACACGTCTGATTTCAGAGACCTTAGGTGCAGTCTTTAGAGCTGGGGGAGGAATCCCTCCATTGTCCTTTTCCGACCCCACCTCCCCGCCCCAACCCCTGCCAACAGCAATGCTTCCCTCACACAGAGAGAATCAGCAAACTGGACAGAAGGGTGGAGATCCAGTGCGGTGGATGGAGAAAGGTGGATGGGACAGGATCTGGCACAGGCAGGATTCTCAGCCCCGTCATCTCTGTCCCCAAACACGGCATCCAGCGGGCATCACCAACACCCGCGTTCAGGACACTCAGCGACGATGACCCTGCCGCGGACCCTGTCTCTCCTGCTCCACCCCACCCCTGAGTGGCTGATGACAGGACAGGTAATGGGGATGGGTACAAGGTAAGTGAGTCTGTAAGAGAGAACGGTGCCCCCTCAGCTGCACTCAGAAGCGGGCGACATGGCTGGGGCCAGCAGGTCAGCTCGGTTTCCGCTCTGCAGGCGAGGTGGGTGTGAGGCCACACTCTCCAGAACTCTAGAATCACAGCACAGAGAGGAACGGAGCTTGTGAGGCGCCTCTCGGTCCACATCAGCCTGCGCGAGGACGTTTGACGGGGAGCCTTGAGTGTCCCCGGCCGGCGGAGGAAAGCCCCTCTCCGGCCTGAGCTGGTGTGAGCTGGGCCTACCCTGGCCCACTGGATGGACATGACTCTGGGTTTTCACGGCCACCAAGCCCCCTCTGCTGACACTCTTTTTTAGACACGCTCAAGGCCTCATCAGCTGCCCGTCAATCCCGTGGCCCCGGGAGGCCGGCTACGTCTGTCCGTGTTGAGTCTGCCGGTCTCTGCTCCGTCAAAAAATTCAAGTTACTGAATTTATAATCCCACTTGCAGAGCACAAGCGAGCACCTCTGTTTCCAAGTCTTCTGGGGACAGGTATCCGCGTGCTGCCCAGGCACCGGTGGCTCCCGCTGCTTTCCTGATGCTGTCACGGGTCTGGCAGCTGGGGGACAGCCCGGCAGAATGGAGGCCTGTCGAGCCGCCCCTTCTGCAGAAGCCACCGTGACAGGCCCCTGCCCCCACCCACATGGCATCATCTCGACCGTACTGTAACGCTGCAGTTAGAAAGGGAGACGAAGTGACTCCTCAGGCAGACCTCTCTGGGATACTGGATTCTTTCAAACTTATTTCTCGGGGCGCCTGGGTGGCTCGGCCAGTTGAGCGTCCAACTTTTGATTCTGGCTCAGGTCATGACCTCATGGTTCACGAGACTGAGCCCCGAGCTGGGCTCTGCGCTGATAGCACGGAACTTGCTTGGGATTCTCTCTCTCTCTCCATTGCTCTCTGGCCCTCCCCCACTCATGCTGTCTTTCTCTCTCAAAACAAATAAATATACTTTGAGAAAAAAACTTATTTCTCATGACTTTTCAGGCTAAGCCTCCTCTTCCCTGTCTTTGCAAAACACAGGATTTCAAGCATAGGCCTAAGTACTGATTCATGGTTTTACAAGCCATCGTTCTGCGGTCATGGGTGACAAAAGCCCAACTCGCACAGGCGTACATAGAAAGAGGGGACTCTGTTGGCTCACAAAACTGAAGGGGGGGCGCAGCAGCCCCCAGCGTTGAACGTGGCTGGTTCTAGAGCCTCAAGTGATGTCCTCTGGAACCTGCCTTCTTTGTCTCTGACCTCGGATTCCTCTACATGATTTCACTCTCAGGAAGGCTTTCTGCTGGAAGCTTTGGCATACATGTGGTCAGCTCAACACAGTCAGCAAAAAAAAAAAAAAAAAAAAAAAAAAAAAAAAAAAAAAAAAAAAAAAAAAAAAAAGGAAGCAAAGCAGTCTGGGTTACCAGACTTTGCAAGGATTTGGGACATACTCATACTAAAAGAATGATTCCTTGTCGATGTGAAAGTCAAATGTCACTAAGCACCCTGTATTTTATCTGGCAACCCCAGTCCAGCACAGCTCCCAGGACCGAAACTGGCCAGTTGGGATCATGTACCATCCCGGACCCAGTCGGTGCGGTCAGGAGGATGGGTTACGCCGAGTGGCAGCCTGGGGTCACCTCCCTATTTCTGGAAAAGGGGCAGCATGGTCGGCCCTCTGAGTATAATACATGCCCCAGGGGAGGGAGGTGGGTCCCTCCCCAAATAACTGGGGTGCTGACCCTAGAAAGAGGGGAATGAGCCCTGCACAGGTGAAAACAACAGATGTCTACACAGTGACCTTGAAGGTCCCAGACAATAGCGAAAGTTATAAAACTCCACGGTGGCTTTACGGCACACCATAGTTTACAAGGCACTTTCCACACTAGTCTCTCCTTTGCCATATACTCCTGTTTGGTCGGCAGGTAGTATAATCACTCCCAGTATGAGTTTGCCGGGGCTTCCGTTAACAACGTAGCCCAGAATTGTGGGGCTTCAACAACAGACATCCGTTTTCTAGGATTCTGGAGGCCGGAAGTCCAAGGTGAAGGTGCAGACAGGGCTGGTTTCTTCCAAGGCCTCCCTCTTTGGCTCCTAGATGGCTGTCGTCTTTCTTCGCTGTGTCTTCACGTGATCTTCCCTCTGTGTGTGTTGTGTTTGTGTGTCCCCATCTCCTCTTCTTAGAAGGACACCAGTCATGGGGGCGCCTGGGTGGCTCAGTCGGTTGAGCATCCGTCTCGATTTTGGCTCAGGTCATGATCTTGTGGTTGGCGAGATGGAGCCCCGTGTGGGGCTCTGTGCTGGCAGCATGGAGCCTGCTTGGGATTCTCTCTTTCCCTCTCTCTCTGCCCCTCCCCTGCTCTCTCTCTCTAAATAAATACGTAAAGATTAAAAAAGACAAGGACACCAGTCCTATTGGATCAGGGCCCACCCTAGTGATCTCATTTTAACTTAATTACCTCTTTTCAGATCCTATCTCCTGTGAAAGGTGAAATGAAATGGAGTCGCTCACGTCAAGCAGTTTTACAAGGGAGCCAGGGGACTATTAGGGAGGTGGTCCTCGAGTACATCCTCATTGGGTAGAACTTCTGAACTGGGCCAAACCACAAATGTTCCAGGGACTCTGCACGAACACCTGTAGTTGCCACAGGAATGGACTTCTGCTTGGTGGCATCCTTGGTGACCAACGACGTCCAGCCACCACTGGCTTTCTGCCGCTAACACCAATCAAAATTATTTGTGAACAACATACACAAACATTCCCTTCTGTCTTCAGAAACCTGACTTGTGTTCCTCATGGGACACAATTTGGGCTGCTACCCGAATCTGTGCCCCCCCCAAAATGCAATTCTGGGACCCCCAAATAAATGCTTTCATTTTATTTCAGTTCTGCCTGTTCTCGGTCGACTCTTCAAACATGGCCACATTCTGAAGTACTGGGTGTTAGGACTTTGATATATGAACTTGGCCGGGGGTGCAATTCAGCCTAAAACACTACCCTCTCCTTTATTAGTTTTTTTAGAAAAATTAAAAAAAAAATAATGTTTATTTATTTTTGACAGAGGGAGAGAGAGAGAGAGGGAGAGAGAGAGAGAGGGCATGAGCTGGGGAGGGGCAGACACAGAATCTGAAGCAGGCTCCAGGCTCCGTGCTGACAGCAAGAGAGCCCAATGTAGGGCTTGAACTCACAATCTGTGAGATCATGACCTGAGCCGAAGTCAGACGCCCAACCAACTGAACCACTCAGGGGCCCCCTTTTTTCAGATAAGGAATAGAACAGTGAGGGTGGTCAGGACTTGCTCTCGGGTTCCAGGGCTGATTAGGCAGTGGAACTCACTAAGAAGCCACATTCTCTGACTGGCCTTTATCCCCAACATGCAGCCATTGTTTCTATGTTTGCCTGTCTGTCCCCCCCACCCCACCCCGTCCCAGCCCACAGACTCCCTACTCCAAGAACACACTGCAAATCCACCCGCAGGGTCCAGGCCCTAAGCACGGGGCAGGGCACCCAGCAGGAATGACACTGAGTTAAAGAAACTCCTACAGCATTTTAGGAGATTGAGCTAAAAGAAGGCCAGGAGCACGTGCTCCTGATTTGAAGTGATAAAGATGCCTTAGAACAGCAAAAATGATGAGGCCTATGGATGTGTAAATGAGCCTGGGGAAGACTAATCAGAGGGTAAATTACACAACAACAACAACAAAAAAAACGACTGTAAAACAAGCAAGGGGAGGACAGCGAATATTTCGGTGTCTTTAGTTCATAAGAAATTCATGAGCAAAGCGCAGGGAAATTGTGTTGGTTTTGGGGGTGGGAAAGAATTGTAAATATGTATAATATGTAAATACCTCTTATAATAAAAGCCCATGAAGATAAACGAGGCTGTCTGCAGAAAAGCTGTGAGCTGTGTAAGATGCTAATAGAACTGTCGTCACTAAGAAATTACCATAATGCTTACAGGGCACTCAAAGTTCCTAGAGCTTTGGAAAGAAATGCATAAATACTAATCAGAAAATGCACACAGACACAGGCCTCTTTCTCTCTCCGCCTCTCACTCTGCGTTCTCTTTTTTCCTCTAATGTGAGGAAGGTAGCTTTGGGGAACAGGCAGGGTGGTTGGACCTACAGGGTTCAAACATGACCTTCCACCACCCAGGAGCAGCACTGACTCCAGCTACCTCCGTTTTGACCTCAAACGTTCTAACTGATGAAGTTCTGCTTTCCAGCTCATCCCTTAACTCGGGCAACAGACCCTGCGGGCAAAGAGTCCCCAGATGGGGATCGAACCACCCCCTCAAACCATAAGGACCTTCCTGAGCCAGCAAGACCCTGCATGAGACCCCAACACAGGGTTCCACCCGACCTGCACTGCCACCTGCTGGCACACACCGACCCTCGCCCTACATTTTCCTTCTGTAAGCCTAGAAGTTTTTCTGGCACTCCGGAGACAGCGTTTGAGACGCTGGTCCGCTGTCTTGCCGGTGTTGGCCTCACTGAAACAAATTCCTTTCTTGTTTCACCACCAGTGGTCGCCCTGCCTTTGGATTTTGTCAGCGGCGAGTGACCGAATCTGGTCTGTGTGGGGGCCCCGGAGCCGGGTGCCATCTTGGGCAAGTCATCCAGTCGTTCTGAGACTCCCTTTCCCCACCTGTGAAATGGGGACACAGCACCTTCCCTGGCCACGTCTTCGGGAGAATCTAAAGGGCGGAGTAATAAGGCTAAAGTAGTGCCACGTCCTTACCCAGCGGGCGGCCGCCAGCGGCCACTCGACACCTGGGGGGGGTGTTTGGGGAAAGAAACCGGCGCAGGACAAAGTGGGTTTCAGGGGAAGCCCACCCACTGCTGCCCGGTTGCAAGCCC